TACTGTTATTTACTATTATAATATTAATATGAGATAACTACGGAGCTTTCTAAGGGTCATAGTGGTCTTTTCCCCCCGATATACCTTTGTGTGGCTACATTAGATAAATTGGGTATTTTTCAAACATAAGCTGCACTTTGTATCTTGTGATAAGTGCTGTTATCGAGATTATCACCTCCCAGATTTTGATTAAAAATTGTTTCATATACTTTAGCATTACACCTCTGAGTCATCTCGCTCTGCCACGTTTCATGGGGGAGACTTGCCCTTTACAGTATGTTATTTCTTGTGAGCTTGGCAACATAAATTTGCCTATCCTCTTTTCTAACTCCATATATTCCTACACAAAAAACTGACATGTAAATCAGAAGTGAGAAGATGAGTAGAGAACAAACATGGGAGACTGTAGTGTCAAGTGAGTGATCGTTACATTGCTGCAGTATATTGCTTTTTGGAAACTAATTCCCAGTGTGTGAAGGAGTCTGAGCTTTAAAGTTAATGGTCATTTGGACAGTTGTTGAGTCTGTCTTTAAATCTGTATATTTTCTGGAAAAGTAACTGAGGTACTTGTCACTTTTCGTTGTAGCAGAATTGCATGGGAAGAATTGCATATGAATACAAGAAGTGTTTATAAGGGAACACAATATTTACTGCAAGGGAGTGCAAAAGTATTACAAAGTACTATATAATGCAAAAGCAGATCAGGGGGAAAGGTCACCACCATGACCCTTAGGGGGCCCCCTTTGACTTGGTGACAACATCACAGCAAAAAAAAACAAAAAACAAAAAAAAACAAGATATACTACTGCAGATCCAGATTTAGTTTCAGAATTATACCGGTCAGAATAAATACATGCATTAGGGCTATTTAATTTACAAAATTTTTTTAGAGAAGCAGTCAAACTTAATTGCATATAGCTAATGTTGAAAGAAAGCAGATCATAAATGCTCCAGAAATTTATTTTGAAAAGCTGTTACCACAAATAGCCTACGGGTCTGTACGGGTTTCCCAAACAATGTCTGAATTACTGTTAGAACTGATAAAAATTTCATAATATAACCCATTACAGCTATGCTCTAGCTTCAGGCTTCCAAAATAATATGCTAATTGATACATTTTCATTATAACCATGTACAACCATATAGTACGTCCAATAAAAAAAAAGTGCTCTCTGATTGACAATAAAACGAACCAATAGTACTGAGCCATGCAAAACAGTGGACCAATGGGAAGGAAGCTGGTGATGTAGTGGGATGAGTTTTGCACTACGATGGCCGCCGCCAGCAGCAGCAGGGAGCATTACAAGGAGTCAAAATCACCATTCATTTTAATTTTCAGAGAGAAAATAATGCCTTGCAAATCATACTTGATTTTTGCTTTTCTAATTTGTACTGTAAGCCGGTGTTTTGCCGAGGATGATCACGAATTGGAAGAGTTTCTGAAGCGGGAGTATTCCCTTTCCAAGCCTTATCAAGGTATCTTACCCGTTATAGCCCGACGTTAACTGTAATATCTTAGTGGTTCACAGGGACAAGCTGAGACAGACAGATGTTTCCAGAATAATATATTACAGCCTAACATGTATTCTTGAGCTCTTTTTCGTTTATTTGAACCTTTTCATGCTTCAGATAAAACTTCAGCCAAACAAGGCATCTTATCACAATGTGTCATATCACTTTTAATTCCTTACATTGCGGTTTTTTTAAAGAGTTTTGTTAAATACACTTTTTTTCTTACTTGTAGTAGTTTTGGTCAGTGATAAAGCAGGGCCATTTTGCTGCCAGGCTCACTCAGCTATGCTGTGCTATTGTGCCATGTCAGCTTTTGTCATAATGATGATAGGTTACTATTTGTGTGCTCAGGTGTGGGATCCTTAGGCTCCTCCCACTGGGAGCTGATGGGGGATGCCATGGTAACTACCGACCAGGTGCGCCTCACACCTGACATGCAGAGCAGGCAGGGGGCAATATGGAGCCGCATTGTGAGTATATACAGTACTAGTAACCTGTCCGGTAACATCGGCACTAATGTCTTGTGTTTAGGACTGCAACTAAAAGTTAGCCTGCTTACCAGTATGCTTTGATCATAGCTGAATAAATTGTGTTCGATTTGTATTTCCTTTTATCTTGACCTCAACCCAACCTTAAGCCTAACTACAGTCTGTCTCTGTGACACCAAACATAAGCCCTAACTAACTGCAGCAGGAGGCAATACAGGAAATCCTATTCAAAGGGAAACCAAACTTTGACGCAAGACTAGTTTAGGTTTGGTCAGGACTTCAGGTTTTTAATGGTACTGAGTCTGCTTAAAGACCCCTACCATCGCAGATCCAACATTTAGCAGTTTCTTATTATCCTTTAATATGTTTATGTTGGTTGTTGTTGGAGTAAACACTATGCACTTCAGTGGGCTTCACTAAACTTGTTTGTGTTTCTAGCCTTGCAATTTGAAAGACTGGGAGATGCAGGTGCACTTTAAGATTCATGGGCAAGGAAAGAAGAACCTAAATGGTGATGGGCTGGCCATTTGGTACAGTAAGGAACGCATGCAGAAAGGTAAAAACCATTGGACATAATGTAAACCTAAATATACTTCTTATCTCAGAAGATATTATTAACTCTCTGTCTTCATATTATTTTACAGGTCCTGTATTTGGAAATATGGACAACTTCACTGGCTTGGGTGTTTTTGTGGACACGTATCCCAATGAAGAGAAACACTTAGAGGTATGCTACAGTAGCACTGCTTAGATCTCACCTCTTATGTGACAGTAAAGTAGGGTTAATGGATAAGTGCTGGCAGATTTGTGTAAAAGGGCTGTATTTGTGTTCTTTTGTGCAACCCCTTGGAGACAGGCACAGAGGAAGAGATACACTTCACGTACACCGGTAATCAGTCATTTGATCCCAACCCTATGTCTAACCTCCAGTTACCCCTTGAGCATGCATCATGACTGAAAACATACCCTTATCTTTGAAATCATACTGTCTTTTTGGTCCCTGCATGGTTGCTGTGTTTGCTGTTGGGTCTAAATCTCAGTAACATTCATTTCAAAATGGTTATAAAAGCAAAAAAAATCTGTTCTAGTAGTGTCTGTTTTTAATATAAATAATATTAGTAAAAGCCATAAGTGAAACAGCTGATGAAAGTTTGTAAGTATACATTTTTAATATTTACAGTAATGACCAGCTTGACTTCCTTATGAAGTTTTAGAGAAAGCATTCATGTCCTAATTGCAAAAGCACACTTGTCTTCTGTTTCAAAATTTTAAAAAGTCGAGCTCCAATGTTCCAGTCAACTTGCCACTCATCTCTCAGATTTGTTCAATAAATCAGCTTTTTCATAAATAATGGCAGCATGTCTACACTGCAGACTAGGCCTGTTTGATGTGTGATGTGATGTCATGAATATTCATTGTTCTAAATGACAGAAACCACCTAAGATTTGTGTGTGAGATAAGAATAGAAACCTCAGTTTGCTTGACACTATTAAATGTGCAAATGTAAAGCTGCGAAATCACCATCACCTCTTTGTGTTATGCTAACAGTATATTTATATGGGACAAATTTAATGTCCTTGTCTCTCTTTTACCTCCTATGAACTCAAGAGGATCTTTCCCTTTGTTCTGGCTATGGTGGGCAATGGCAGCATTAGCTACGACCATGAGCGCGATGGTCGGTCCACAGAGCTGGGCGGCTGCAACGCCATGGTGCGCAATCTCAAACATGACACCTTCCTCTTCATCCGATACGTCCGCCACAGGCTCACAGTAAGACATGCACGCTTTGAATTTTGTCTTTAATTAACTAGGCAGAGATAAAGAAGATCGCACTCCTCCTCAGACCAAATCAATGAGATGTTTCCTTCTGTTTAGTTCACACTGTCACATATCAGTACAGGGGGGAAATGGACAAATGTTTGCACATCGAAGAATCAGAGCAGGTGCAGAGCAGTTACTGAGAATAGTCTTGAAGTTCATAAAGGCATGTGAATGTTTTGAATTTTAGGTGGGCACAGTGAAAGCAGTCTTTCCTAACAAGGACTCTTCAGATAGATAAGCAATAAAAGCTATTACTAAGAAAAATGAAGGAGAAAAACAACAGACTTTGTCCTTTAAAATGCATAATTCCAATATGTAACAATTCCTAGTAGCGAACCTAAAACCAGATTAAATGGAAAAGGCTTAAGAGTGTAGGCAGCAACATGTTTACAGTAAACAGTCCACCCATTGTCCAGGGTCTGGTTCCTAGAAGCAAGTTTACTCAATTATCTGCATAACTTTTTGTGAGTAAACAATTTGATAACTCAATAAACCTGTTCTGGGGAAAAGAACTGAAAGGCCAAGATTTATATTATAAATGTATATTATTATGTTCTGTGACTCTCACTGCAGCTTCCTGATTGCCTCTGTTCTCCAGGTGATGATAGACATTGACGGGCAACATGAGTGGAGGGACTGCCTGGACATACCTGGGGTGCGTCTTCCCCAAGGCTATTATTTTGGAGCTTCAGCCATCACTGGAGATCTCTCTGGTAAACAGCTTTCACTATCCCAAACAGCTCTGGGGTAATGATGACTTTTGCACTTCAAGGCTATTTTTACTCTAAGAACAAAATTTGTGCCCTCATGACCAAATGAATGGAGTTCACATCGCACTGCTGCACTGCTCCCAACCTGTTTAGAGCAATTCCACGTGGAAATGCAATCACATACAGTATTTCCTATTTTTTCTTTTACCTGTTTTCTTAATATAATCTCATTTTCTTTATAGATAATCATGACATAATTTCCCTGAAACTCTACCAGCTGACTGTGTTTCGGAGTCAAAAGGAAGAGGAAGAGGAGGAAGATGAAATAACCATACCTAGTGTAGATAACATGGACCTACTCAGATGTAAGACCCATTATTGCTGACATTGCTTCACTGTCATATCCCAACTCATCCTCTTAATTTCTCTCTTTGTCTTCCCTTTCAGTGGGTGAGAATGAAGAGGGGATGAGTGGAATATCTATTTTCTTCACCGTGCTCTTCTCCATACTGGGTTGCATCTTCCTCATCGTCATCGGCCTGGTGGTCTACAGCCACTGGACCGAGAGCCGACGCAAGCGTTTCTACTAAAGAAGAAAAATAGGAAGTTGTGGTAACTACTGTGGTCCACAGATCTAGCTGCACAGAAGCGAGACACTGCTGTGGGCCAGTAGAGCGCAGTAGGTTGTTTTATCCTGAAGACACTATTGAGACAGGAATTGGAGTAGATGCATCACCTCCTACAAAAAAGTCACTCTGCAACTTTGCCATTGATAATCATGAAGCCGTAGGACAACTTTATTTTACTTTTTATCCTCAGCCCCTGACACACACCAGTTGAGCCTTATCATTTTCACCTCTGTACTTGTTACAAGCAGACGTGCGGTGTACAGTAAGTTATTACTTCTTATGAGCAGCTACATTTTATTTTTTTTACCTCATGCCACACAAATATGAACTTTTTTTTTTTTTACAAATTTTTAATTCAGTGAGGTAAATTTTATGGTTTTGTGAAATATAAATATATAATTATCTGATAGGTTGTTCCTCCTGATTAGTTTCCCACCCGCAGTATGAATGGGAGCGCTAACCAAATAGCACTCAAAACTGATGTCCTCTTTCCTGTAGCCCACTGATAACTTGCCTCTTTTCAGTTCTTCGCATTGGAAAAGCCACTCAGTGATCTGGACTCGGTCATTCTCAGTGAGTGTAGACACATGGTGTACTGTATATTCTGTAGTTTCTATCGTATGCATGACATTTGTTTTTATTATTTATGAACTGGCTAGGTTGCCACTGCTTTCTGTTTACATTATGCTTGACCTTTTTATGTTTGTGTTAAGTACAGTATTGTTCAAAATAATAGCAGTACAATGTGACTAACCAGAATAATCCAGGTTTTTAGTATATTTTTTATTGCTACATGGCAAACAAGTTACCAGTAGGTGCAGTAGATTCTCAGAAAGCAAACAAGACCCAGCATTCATGATATGCACGCTCTTAAGGCTGTGAAATTGGGCAATTAGTTGAAAGGGGTGTGTTCAAAAAAATAGCAGTGTCTGCCGTTGACTGTACAAACACAAAACTATGTTGTACAAACGTTTTTGTTTCTAGGATTTAGCAATCCTGTGAATCACTAAACTAATATTTAGTTGTATGACCACAGTTTTTTATAACTGCTTCACATCTGTGTGGCATGGAGTCAACCAACTTGTGGCACCTTTCAGCTGTTATTACACTCCATGATTCTTTAACAACATTCCACAATTCATTTACATTTCTTGGTTTTGCTTCAGAAACAGCATTTTTGATATCACCCCACAAGTTCTCGATTGGATTAAGGTCCGGGGATTGGGCTGGCCACTCCATAACATTAATTTTGTTGGTTTGGAACCAAGACTTTGCTCGTTTACTAGTGTGTTTGGGGTCATTGTCTTGTTGAAACAACCATTTCAAGGGCATGTCCTCTTCAGCATAAGGCAACATGACCTCTTCAAGTATTTTGACATATGCAAACTGATCCATGATCCCTGGTATGCGATAAATAGGCCCAACACCATAGTAGGAGAAACATGCCCATATCATGATGCTTGCACCACCATGCTTCACTGTCTTCACTGTGTACTGTGGCTTGAATTCAGAGTTTGGGGGTCATCTCACAAACTGTCTGTGGCCCTTGGACCCAAAAAGAACAATTTTACTCTCATCAGTCCACAAAATGTTCCTCCATTTCTCTTTAGGCCAGTTGATGTGTTCTTTGGCAAATTGTAACCTCTTCTGCACGTGCCTTTTTTTTAACAGAGGGACTTTGCGGGGGATTCTTGAAAATAGATTAGCTTCACACAGACGTCTTCTAACTGTCACAGTACTTACAGGTAACTCCAGACTGTCTTTGATCATCCTGGAGCTGATCATTGGCTGGGCCTTTGCCATTCTGGTTATTCTTCGATCCATTTTGATGGTTGTCTTCCGTTTTCTTCCACGTCTCTCTGGTTTTGCTCTCCATTTTAAGGCATTGGAGATCATTTTAGCTGAACAGCCTATAATTTTTTGCACCTCTTTATAGGTTTTCCCCTCTCCAATCAACTTTTTAATCAAAGTACGCTGTTCTTCTGAACAATGTCTTGAACGACCCATTTTCCTCAGGCTTTCAAATGCATGTTCAACAAGTGCTGGCTTCATCCTTAAATAGGGGCCACCTGATTCACACCTGTTATTTCACAAAATTGATGACCTCACTGATTGAATGCCACACTGCTATTTTTTTGAACACACCCCTTTCAACTAATTGCCCAATTGCACAGCCTTAAGAGCGTGCATATCATGAATGCTGGGTCTTGTTTGCTTTCTGAGAATCTACTGCACCTACTGGTAACTTGTTTGCCATGTAGCAATAAAAAATATACTAAAAACCTGGATTATTCTGGTTAGTCACATTGTACTGCTATTATTTTGAACAATACTGTATATGATGAACAGACTTCTGCCTCCCGTTTATGTGCTGATTGCAAAGATTTGAGTGTTTCGGGGGATATTTAATTTCAGTTAAATTGCATTATTTTTTACCAATATTTGTACTCAAAATGCTTGTTTGTACTTTGTTGTTTTTAATATATGTATTGCAGAAAACTTGATCAAATAAACTGAACAGCTGACAGCAAATTCTTCTAAATATATTTAAAACTAGATACATCTACATGTCAGAAATGAATGTTTGCACTGAAGGGTGGGGACTTGAATGACTACTCATTTATCACAGTCTATTTCTGACTAAGTTTCTTTGCACACTGAAGAGGAATCTTATCTTTTTGCAGGTAATCCATTGTGTGGTGCCGTTGGTACGAATTGTTTCGAGAAATGCTCTTACTGGTTTGCAAATATCAAGGATCCGAGAAGTGACTGAGAAAAACTGTAAAATGTGTACCTGGTGCACAGAGGAACAGTTTAAGAATAAATTGAATCAAATACGTTCTTACAAAGTACATTAAAGAAAGCTCATAATCAGCAGGTATCTGAGCAACAGGTCGTGTGTTTTCCTAATTTGTGGATGTCATTACATCCCATCAATAATTTAGGCTAACTGCCTGAGTTGTGTGTCTCAGAGCCATGTGATGGTCCATCAGATCAACATCTTAGTTCTGTTACATGCCAGGATTGTGCTCCAGTTTCAGTCTCATGTATTCAAGGTCCATTTCTCCATGAACATTTGAGGAAGCCTAAGACAACATAGCAGGATTCTGCAAAAAGTCAGTCTGTCAAGCCAATGTTTTATTAAAAAAATAAAATACAAATGATGACCCAAAGAGTACACAGCAGACATTTTACCAAAACCACAGTATTTTTTTATCTGTTTAGTGCTAAATTTTTTCCACTTTACTCATTTTGGCTTGTGTAAAATCATTAGGAAAACAATGTAGAAAGCCTGGGGTATGTTCACTTCTAAAGCTAGGGTGCTTAAAAACAAATAAAAGAAAGAAATCCACATAGTTCAACCAGACAACTATCTGGCATTATGCATGGCTGAAAGAAAAAGGTATAGAGATCTAACCAAAAAATGAGTAAATAAATTAAAATCAACAACAATAATAATAACAACAGGGATATTTTTATTTTACCTTTTCTTGTTCTAATGGGTCCTGGTCTATTATAACCTGACTGTGTTCCATGTTGAGGTCTTTCATATGTATAGTATATAAATATTTAGAAACCGATGGTGTTGTTATTCTCCGAAGATTAAAAGGCAACAACAGTTAAATAGTCAGCGAAAATTCATAAAGATGGAGAAAGAAAAGCGGCTGTTTCAAGTGAGAAACCTAACACGTTGAATTAGTGCTACACAAATGTCAGACTAAGATATCAAATAAGAATTCATCGAAAAAAAAAATCATTCAACATTATCGTTCAACTTACACAACTAAATAATGAAGGAAAGTGTTGATGAATGATGAGGCAGGCAGGAAAAAGCCAAAAACGGGTGGGGGAGATATAAACTAGAATGACTTTTCAACTGTAAGCCCCTCAGCTGACACTGACACATACATGCACATTACATCATAGTAGAAGCATTACAAATGTATTGTTTTACAAGTTTTCTTAAACAAAAGCAAGTACACAGACCGACCAAAGTAGATTACAGTACAGTGCAGTGCCACAAGTACACAGAGTTATATTGCTTGTACTGTTGCCCACAGACAAATAATAAAGTGAGAAAAGGGGTTGCAGCATATAACAGTAGGTTTATGTTTTTGCATAGCCAAGTTGAGTAAAGTACAATACACTACAGAGACGTGTGATGTGGAAATAACATCAGGCGACAATGAGGACTCAATAATCATGACACAGCTGCTTTGGTTTAATGAGACTGGTGGGTCCAAAATGTGTTAATTTAAAACTCTAGCACTACTTGTTAAAGATAACCCTGAGAGTGGGAAACCAAACAGACCATCGTCATGACAACCGTGCGCTCTCTCTCTCTCTCTCTCTCACACACACACACACACACACACACACACACAGAGTGGTGAAAACAGTGATTATCCATGTAGCATGGAGATGGCAGTGACTTTGGTAGATCATTGTGTCGACTCGTCTGCATGGGTGGATGTGCCCTCCTGTTTCCAAGGGACCACATGCAGAGCGGTGCAGCGGAGAAAAACAAACATCTACAGCGTTGACTACGGTTTCTGTTATCAAGACAAAGCTCAGTAAAGGGCAGAGTCATGGTACACAAAAAACCAAGCGAGCAAACTCCTGTCAATACCAAACACGCAACCAGTAACGTAAAGATTTGGGCTTGGGGGGATGGAGGGATGTTGCATCATGCACCTCTGTGGAGGCTGACAAAAACAAAAAGGCAAAGTTAAAGCCTATATAAAGAAAATACACGGTCATATACAATCAGTTATTGTTAAAAAAAGAGCTCCACTACAACATTAAAGGGCATCCGAATTCAAACCCTGACCTTGTTCACATTGCAGATAGTGGATTTCGGCAACTGTGGCATTAAATGAACAGCACAGAAGTGGATGGATGTTTGTTTGTTGACTGGTATAGCCCTTAATCTCTGTAAACTTGTGAAAACCAAAGAGTCATATTATTTTGGCAATGGAAAAACTATGGACTTCCAGTTCACTCATGCACAGAAGAACCACTATCCTCCGTTATTCCTCACCCCCTTCCCCTGTCATTGTCTACATATGTATTACAAACATGCACAAATGTATCTTAGCAAAAAGGTTACTAAACAATCTCTTATTGGAGTTAATGTTTACTAATTTTCCTTACACTTTTGTACCAGTTAATTTCACTAACTAACTGCGACTAGATCTGTGGAACAAGACTGCACACAAACTCAACAGTCTGGTCATGACAAATTTCATCAATGCCAAAGCTAACTAGACACACACTTTACAGCCACTCCTCAGGTCCAAAACAAATGCAAGTGAAACTATACAGACCATGTAACAGTTTAAATCTTGTGGTTTGAAAGTGTTTTGAAACCACATCCTTTTCTCACAAAGGGAGCACAGTTATCAGAAACTCAGATGCTCTTTTCAAATGATACAAAAGCATTCCTCATCTCTAAAACAGGCATGCTAGGAACAACACAAACATTACCAGTGAAAAGAAACCCAAAACAAAACCACTTAACTAAATCTACTCTAATAAGGCAGTAACACATCTCTACATTTTAATGTGCAACTCTATAATCAAGATAATTACTCTTTAGAGATGCAGCAAGGCAGCTTGAGGTGTTGGTCAAAAAAATGTCTTAAATTACTTCTGCTGATGGGCATGCAGTCATGCTCACAGTGTAACAGCTCATCTGAAAAGGTCACTGCCATGTGAGTATGACTTCATATTTAAGCGCCTGCTTCCTGGAGTCTGGTACGTGACAGCTGGAAGTCTAATATGCTAATTCAACAAACAGACTGCTAGACACTGTTTAGGGCAATTTTAGTTTTTGTTGAATTTATCTAGAACACTGAATATTGCACCACCAGTAAGTAGGCTTCGATGAGCCTACGTGCTTGCGTGAAGCAGAACGACTGACCTGAGTCTTTACACTGTGCCCATTTTATCACACAGCATCAAAGCAGACAAACATTTGACTCATCAGTTACTACTTGTCTTGTGCAGACCTTCGCCTAGTAACAAATTATTTTATTTTGCAGTGGTTTTCCTATCTGACAACACCCAGTTCAGCTGCTACACTGACTATATAATGTACAGTATATTGGGCAAGCAGCACACAATACAGAGGAGTATGAATCTTATTGCAATCAATTCTGAGGCTGTGCTAACAATGACTAGACTGCAGAGGACAGCCTGCATCCACCTCAGTTTGTTAATGCACCCATCCTCTTCTGCCAATGGAAAATACTAATTGCCAATCCCTCACACTGCCAAAGCTACAGGGGCCACAAAAAGCCAAGACAGCACCAGCTAACTAGCTATTAGCACTACATAACCGCACAGCACGGCTCACACAGCCAGAACAACACAATGAAACTAGATCCACGACATCTTGACCTAAAGCACCGTCCATACCCAACATCTGGGTATGGTGTTATGCAGCCACTGTAGCCCACCATCATTCTGACAAACAGATGAGCAAGTAGCACAACGGCTAGAAAATGCTAAATAATTCAAACACAGAAATTCATGCCTCATGCAAAATACCAGTGCTTTTAACAGTTAATCCACGTCAGTGCTGAGTAAGTATTTCAACCAGATGCTATAGCACTTTATAGATATTTACACGCATACACACACACGACTCAACCTTTCCCTGCTGCACTAAAACACCCACTCACTAGCACACAATCTGACAGCCCCCCCTCAGGAGCTTGGTTGCAATTAATGTGACACCTGTGGCACTTACTGAAGTGCATCTGGTTATGAAATGAAAAACCAAAAGTAAGTACATCCTTTGTTATGAACATTAAAACAATATACTGAGTAATAAACTCACGCTGACATAACACAGTAAATACAAAACGCTAACACAGAGCCACTGCCAGCCTTTTTATTGATTAAAAGAAGATTGGTGGCATAGCCCTCTTGGCTATTACTATGAATTAAATGCAGTCACAAACTGAAAGCTCACATGCGCGCAATTAATTAATCATAAAAAGCTGAAGACTCCTCATCCACATGCTACAAAGTTGTGCAGGCCACATTATCAAAAAAGAAATAGGGCTGAGGGTGTGTACAAAGCAACAATCTGTGCTCTTCCCGCTCCCTCCCGTTCCCTCTTCTGCTATTTGTGGGTGTTTACTCTGCCTCCGCGCTTGATGTGAGAATTTCCACAGACTTCACACCAGATGCTGGCTGCCATGTTCTCAGAGCTGACATCACCATGGGGCTGCGTCCCAGATAACACAGCACACACACACCAACTCTCACACACATGGGAAAAAACAAAATGTGTGTTCTTGTCCACTGATCCAGTATCGCCCTAAAGATTTCAAGAGGTTTGTTTTAAACTCCCCTGCTTATTCGTAGTGGGGACAGGGGATAAAAGTTGTTGACAGTGTTGGTATGTGCCTAGATGACCACCCTACTGAGGTAAAATATCAGATGGACAGAAATGTTCTGACTAAGGGGAGTGCCAAGATAAAAACAGAAACATGACAACAGTGCTCAAGGAGAGGGTAGGAGCAAGGCTAAACAGTTAAACTGCCAATTCTTATTTCAGTCAGAAATCCAATCACAACTGCTGACATTTGCCCACTTACCACCAAGAAGAAAACACAGATATACCAAACAGAGCATCAGTATGTTTGCTAATTTCTCCACTAAGGAAAAGCAAACCAAAAAAAAAAAAAGAAAAAGAAATTAAAAAAACAAAACAAAAAAACAAAAACAAAGCTAGGTGTTTCACCCTACAATGTGTTATTCAACTTTCCTAAACTGAAGCCATTAAAGATTAGTTATCATCATCGTAACATCATGCCTATGTGTTACAGACAGTTCCTGTGGTGATGATGATGATGGCAACATCTATCTCATCACCCAGTGTGAAGCAGGAAGCTGCACTGGTTGAGTTATGCTGTGGATCACACCATGTGGTCTCCACTGCTGGTGCTGGTGGTCTGGCTGGGCAGCTCAGATGCATGATCCTTCTGTCTGAAGGGCTGCTGCTGGTGCGTGGAGCAGCAGTCCCCATCGCTGACCTTGCACATCCGGTGCTCCTCTTCGCTTTCCTCCTCAAGCCCTGAGCCCTCGTCTACATCCACCTGGCAAACGCATACCTCAATCCCAGAGTCACCGGTCACATGCCGACGTCGGGTGACTAGCTCCTCATCCTCCTCTGCTGCCATCATTGAAGCCTCCGCATTCTCCTCTTCCAGATGCTGTGCTTGGATGGGCACTGACGCTGCTTCCTGGTCTGATGATGAGCCTGATGCTTGAGTGTTCACCCTGGGGTCTGCCTCAGTCAGCAGATGTGTCGCTGTGGCAGTGTCTGGCTGGGTCACTTGTGAAGGGAGAGCTGAGGCAGGTACAGGAGGGTTTTCAGAGTAAGGGGGAGGTGGCGTTGGGGGGTGACCTACAACCTCTTCATAGTCAGGAAGCTTGCAGTCATTCCAGAACCCTGAAAGTCAGCAAGTATAAAAAAATTCAGCTTTCCAACCCTCATTCCCATAATCATTTTTGTTGCTTTTCTTGGTCCTTATTTTAAACTAAATATTATTGGGTATTGGACTGCTAGTCAATCAAAACAAGCAAACGCAATATGGCAACTTGAGCTTCAGGAAAGTGTGATGAGAAATGTTTTATTATTTACCAATACTTAAAAGGATAAACAACAAGTGAATTAGTCATGAAAATAACAGACAAACTGATAATGATATCAATGTTAGCTGCAGCTTTACATCTATGATCATAAGTTTTACACCGATGGCAGTCATTCTAAAACTGTGATTTGCCGACCCATTTTTGGCCAAAGACCCCAACAGCACCCTTAAAATTTAAAAACTGAAGCTTTAGCAGTCCACAGAACCAGGGTGTTACTTTACTCTTAAATCACAAAAACAATAATGCTGACATATTTTGTGACTTTCAACTGATTTGTTATTGTTCCATAAAAACAATATTAATACATTATATTGTGCTTCTAATTAACTGTCTTAAACCAAACTCTGGCTCTGCACAGATTTCAGGTCTTCCTAGAAATGTGCATCAGGTAAATATATAAAACGTATTCTGCAAAGAGTGAATTCCATGGCTGGGGACTTCTAACGTTAAACAAATACATTAGAGAGGGAGGGAGGTTGTGCTACCCCTTCATTGCTTGCATTTTTGACATCAAGTCAAGCATGATCACCGTGGGCGTCAAATGCTGCCAAGCATGTACCTTGTCTAACCTCCTATTTGTGATATTAGTAGACAGGATATCAAGTTTCAGCTATTCCAGACTGACCACTGACATTCGAGTGGTATCCTCTCTGTCTGCTCTCCTTCTGGGAGCATCAGACCATGATCACAATATACACCGCACAACTGACATGTCAAGATTGCAAGGAGGATCACACCTCAAATTTACAGACTTTAACTGTAAAAGGTATCCATTTTATTTAGGAATAGGGAAAGCATCTGCCCAAACAAGAATTAAGGTGTCCTGTTAGTCAGCATGACACATTTTGTGGCTTTAAATGTGGTATTGGACCTTGCTGGAGGAAAGTATTAAGTCCTGACTTCCTACCTATGGACATGAGCTTTGAGTTGACCCAGGACGAACAATACTCTGCATACAAACTTCTTTGTGAAGCCTGCAGGACAGCTGGCCTCAATTTTCTGATAGGTAGAGGAATAAATTTATCTAATACATATTATCTTGGTATCAAGCTTCAGCTCTGCACTGAACTGGGTGGACCGCAAAGCAGACCCAACAGAAAGTAAATCTTCCAGCAGACCCAGACACATGAGGATGCAATAGGAGGTGCAGGAGGAAGTGGCTGTAGGATTATTTGGGATTTTATGCTTTCACAACCACAACAATGTGTGTAGAGCTGTATTAAGTGCACAGGTATCAATCTCAGTGTCCTTTTCCTCTCAAACGCTGCATACTAAATGACTGTCAAAGATTTTAAGAAACTCACAGCCTACACATAAAGCTCCAAGATGACATGGAACATGGAGTTGTAAGGTGATACACAAGTGAAATAAAGATTATATTCAGCATCAAAATTAAACAATAAAACTGTTACATTCTGAACGGCACTGTAATATCCCCATAGCAAACAAGAAGACTACTCACGTAGATTGATGGGTGGAGGGGAAACGAAGGAGCTGGAGGCTCCCTGATAGGCCATGAGGCTGATCTCACGTTGGCGTTGCTCCTGCTGCAGACGCATTTTAACTCTCCGGTGTCGGTAGGCACAGCAGCAACTCAGCATGATAATTAAGGTCCATACCAACCAGAACCCTATTAGTGCAAAAAGACAAATTACAAATGTAATACTACCATCATCAGGCAACTGGCAACTTATCTAACTAACTATAGGTATGTGCCAAAAAATTAGAATATCATGACAAAGTTCAACATTGTAGGCTCCCTGTGTCCCAATCTAGTCAGCTAATTAATGCAAAACACCTGCAAAGGTTTCCTCAGCCTTGAAATTGTCTCAGTCTGGCTTAGTAGGCTTCAGAATCATGGGGAAGACTGCTGACTTGACGGTTGTGCAGACGACCATCATTGACACCCTCCATAAGGAGGAAAAGTCTCAAAAGGCAATTGCAAAAGAAGCTGGATGCTCACAGAGCGCAGTATCAAAGTATATTAACAGAGTGTTAAGAAGAAGGGAAGAATGTGGCCGGAAAAGGTGCACAAGTGACAGGGATGACCGCAGCCTTGAGAGGATTGTCAAGCAAGGGCGATTCAGAAATCTGGGGGAGCTTCATAAGGAGTGGACTGAGGCTGGTGTCAGTGCATCAAGAACCACCACATACAGACGTCTGCATGACATGGGCTACAGCTGTAGATTTCCATGCATCAAGCCACTCCTGAACCAAAAACAACGTCAGAAGCGTCCGTGCTGGGCTAAGGAGAAACAGTACTGGTCTGTTGCCCAATGGTCCCAAGTCCTGTTTTCAGATGAAAGCATATTCTGCATTTCATTTGGAAATCAAGGTCCCAGAGTCTGGAGGAAGACCGGAGAGGCACAAAAGTCAAGCTGCTTAAAGTCCAGTGTGAAGTTTCCACAGTCAGTGATGGTTTGGGGAGCCATGTCATCTGCTGGTGTGGGTCCACTGTCTTTTATCAAGTCCACAGTCAACGCAGCTGTCTACCAGGAAATTTTAGAGCACTTCATGCTTCCCGCTGCCGACAAGCTTTTTGGAGCTGAAGATTTTATTTTCCAGCAGGATTTGGCACCTGCCCACACAGCCAAAACTACCAGTACCTGGTTTAATAGCCATGGAATAACTGTACTTGATTGGCCGGCAAACTCACCTGACTTAAACCCCATTGAAAATCTATGGGGTATTGTCAAGAGGAAGATGAGGGAACACAGACCCCGAAATGCAGACAAGCTGAAGGCCAATATCAAAGCAACTTGGGCTACCATAACACCTCAACTGTGTGAAAGGCTGATCGCCTCCATGCCACGCCTCCTGGATGCAGTAATTAGTGCAAAAGGAGGCCCAACAAAGTACTGAGGACATAATACAGTACATTAACACACTTTTCAGAAGGCCAACATGTGTTTAAGATCCTTTTTTTATTGGTCACATGAAATATTCTAATTTTGTGAAATACTGGATTTGGGGTTTTTTTGTCTTTAATCCATAATCATCAAAATTGAAACAAATAAAGGCTTGAAATATTTCACTTTGTGTGTAGTGAACTAATATAACATAGAAGTTTCACTTTTTGAAACAAATTATTGAAATAAATGGACTTTCCCTCGATATTCAAATTTTTTGGCACATACCTGTAGGGATTTGCTTGACTCTGAATAAGGCGCAGGTAATTCCATAATGAGGAGTTAAGTGTGCAATTAAATCTTACTCCAGCAATTTCATTTGGTGTATATTATATCAGGCATTTTTCTATCCTTGAAGTCCAGGTAAAGTAGAAATAAATGTTTTCTGAGTCTGTCACACCACAGGAAAATGTGCTATTAACCACTCTGCCAAATTTGAATGATTAAAAAATGGCAAATATATAACATTACGTTTAAAATTATAAAAAAAAATAAGCAGTATTCTCTGCTCTGAAACACTAGATGCAAATAGCATGAAGGCAGTGAAACCATGCCCAGTAGTGGAAAGGTGCCGCCTATTCTCATGGGTGTATTACATCCATGCCTGTGCTGTTCATGGATGTAATGAGGAAAAATAATTTATTCATGGTTCTGTTCTGTTCTGGTCTGGTATCCAGGTAAGATGCATTTGTAGAACAAAAGCATAGCTAGCTAGCAAATTGCAGGCTGTAGCAGGTGAAACTCATGAGAACCGCAGATGCAAGTGTGCCAGGGCTCTGTAGTGCAAGCATTTCATTTTTATATGCAAGTAAAAATATTGGGCACACTGGTGTGGCTGAATGACATCCTTGGGTTCTCAGTTTGTAAGAGCTGGGAGTATTTTATCATTACTCCAAGAGGCTAGTGAGTGAGAGTAGTCGATTGTGTTTCAGGATGGTGGTCAGCTTCTTCATACATGGAGCAGACAACAACTGCCACGGTGCACAAGTGAAGTGAAACATGTTACTGATATTTAATACACCTATGCTCGTTACTGTACACCTTCTTGAGTAAAAAGCCAGTAAGAGTAATTTATCAAAACACTTACTAAACAAGCATGAGCGTGCCTGTTCACTTGCAGTGAAAATGAAACTAGTTTGAGAATGAAACAACACACATCAAACAAAAAGTGATTTCAAGATATAAATATCTAAATTAGAATTAAATGGACACTAGGGAAGGTGTACAAAGAAAGTTACATGATTTATCTGAATGATGATACGAGTAGAAGTTTTACTTACACCAGAGCTCATAGTAGTAGGTGCAGCACTCTGTCTCTCCACAACAATACCCCATCTCACAGCGGTACTGTTCATTGTTTACCCCAAAACAGAACTCCTTCCCCTAAAAATACACACACAGCGGTACACAAAGTGAATGTTTGAGTCATTACTCAATGACACAAGTAAACAGTAAAATGCATAGCAAGTCTGTGAAAGATTGGCCTATTTTTAGGTCCTATTTACCCTTATTTGTCACCTTAGTGTCATTTATTGTGTTTGCAGCCTACATTCCGTGCTAATGTTCTGTAATATGGCGCCTTTATTGGTACAGGTAAACAATATAACATTTAAAATCTCATTTTAAAATGTTAATATAAGATAGGGAAGCTTAAAGTTGAAAGTTAGTGAAGGTACAATACAATTAAAACCCGTATCTAACAATACAAACAGTCTTATAAAACAGCATCATCAAAAAGGAAAGGGTTGTTAAAACAGCATATTGTCCGGCCAGTGAACAAAAACAGGTATGAGTTCAATTGCTTTTGTTTTAAAATGATTTCAGTGCCAAAATGTCTTAGCTATGGCTCTTATAATTTACACGCTAGCTAATAATTAAAACGCATCTGGTTATGTTTGAGCAATTGAGAGGAAACTATATTAAAAGAAGGAAATAACTAGCTAATATCACGTTAACAAATATAAGCATAAACCTATGTTTAGCTGTTAAATTATAAGGTTCATACCTTTATTAGCGACATTTAATATACCGAGTCCTGACAAACTAAAGATAACTTCCCTGTCTGGCTAGCTAACATAAACAACCACGAATAAAAGGTCAATTTACCATTTAACCGCTAACAACTACTAACATTAATCTTGACAACCTTGATTCAAACTGTAAAACCGAGGTGACAAAACGCGTCTGGGTAGTTAGCTTCGAGTAAAAACCTAATCTCGCAGCAAGTTAACGAAATTGAAATAAAAACTTTGAGTAGGTGACGTCATCCTCAGTACAGCAGCAAGCCGTGCCCAGTTTCCTTTGTGGAGGAGACAAAAAAGGCTCGGAAACAGGCCTTCATCCAGCCCAGGAGCCGCGGCCTCTGCTACAATAGTCAGCCGACTCTACGAGCGCTAGCGGTGGCTTACCTGTACCAGACAGGTCCCGGTACAAAGAAGACCTACAATGGATCCCAGTGCTTTCTGCAGCATCTTTCTGGGTCGTCGGCCGATAACACAACGGGAATCATATAGTTAGCCGTCGGTTGAATCGACGACCTGTTGAGGTGTCTGCAGGTGGATGTTGTTCCTCAACAATTGAACATGTCGCACTCAGACATTTTTTTGTTGTTCCTCGATTCAGAAACACCACAAGTAGTAACACGAAACGACGTCTGCCACTGACCTGCAGAGGGCGCTGTGCATGCGTCGGTGAAAGCATATGATTTCACAGAAAGCAAGTTCCTTCTCAGTACAGAAGTTGATTACCCGCAAAAGTTGCATTTTGATATTAAATTAATGTAACAGCCGGTTTATTAGGTACACCTGTACAATTATATGCAATCAAGACAACACTTCCAACTTAACTTTTGTGTTTATGAAACTCAAAATGTTTCAGTTTTTGGTGAGATTGTCATAAATGTATCAATTTATTTAGAGGTGTTACTGCCATACCTTTCAGGTATGTAACTGGGGAGGACAAAAATATAGAGCCATCTAATTAATTTTAGCAGGAAATTATATTGTGAAGTACACTTTACCAAGAATCTGTTGGTTCCATTGTAGTTATCATAATGTAGCCTAATATTAATACAGCATATTTAGTCTACATAGCACAGTCACTTTGCTTTAGCCTGCAAAAGGCAAACAAGCAATAAATTAATAAGAAAATCCACTTAAACAATGAAAATTAAACAAGGCATATTTTAGCATGGTGCATTTTTGTACCTCCTTTTTTCTGTTGTCCTATTGACATGCAGCTGTCACGTTGTTTTGTCATGGTTTCCCTGGTGACAGAACTTCACAGCTGTTCTCCCGAGAGGTATGCTTATAAAGGTGTTAATCCACTCAGCCTTAACTGATACACAACACCTACAACTGAGGAAAGTAAGAGTTATCACAATTCACACTCATGACAGCTTTGGAATTAAAACATAAAAAATTTGATTTACTGCATAATAACCCATTTCTGCATTGAAAGATAGTTAGTTGCTGCTGTAATACTTGAGACTGTTAGTTACAGCTGGCTATTTTTAGATGCCAGAGGAATGGGGCACCTGGTTAGAATAGATATACATAGCCTGCTGCTTATGTTTACAGAAAGAGGTCACTGTCAAACAGTTCCAGTAAATGACTAATACTGAGGTTTATAATTATAATATAGGTTGTCACTGAAAATATCTATCTGTGTCTCTGCATTTAATTAATGCTCAAATATCTAGTTCCGCAAATTGTAGCAGTTTGAATTTAACAGTTCAGACCTCTTTTTCTGTGCAGGCAAGCAAGCAAATGTGATATAACACAGCACACCAACAACACAATGTCAGTTTTTCTTCTGTACATTAAAACTCATCCACCAGCTAGTTTTTGGGAATTATTTAATGAATCCAAAGAAGCTGACTAAAAAACAGTTGCAGTTAATTTCTTTTGTATTCAGGTGACCCTGGGTATAAATTCAAGTGTCATACACATAGAGTTTTAATCTGTAGAAGCAGAGAACTTTTCCATACTCAGACTACACATGCTATGTATCAGCTGGACAAATTAGAGGTCTGAAGGAGGGTTTTTTTTCATATTTCTAAACAGGCTTTACCGCTGTGTCCACCATACATAATCAAATTGTCCAGCCTCCTACAATTATAGCACCAGCTACATTATACATTTGAAAAACCTTAAAATATGATCACTACTGCCAGTCATCTTCTGGCTAGTGTGTTGTATTAATCCTTCCGGGTTGCAAGGGAGAGCAGACGTTTACTGCTCCTGTCTGTTTTACGATTTTTCACATCTTCTACATTTTCAAGTCTTTGAACAAATTCTACAACTATTAAAATGCCTCCAAGAGGGAAAAGAGCTAATAAATCAGAAGCGAACAAGGATGTTGAGGCAGAAGAGGATTATATTTCAGCGGCGCAAGTAACAGAGATGTTGAGTCAGCAGAAGCAGATGTACACCGCACTGTTGAGCCAACAACAAGACAACTTCAAAGGTTTTGTGCAACTACTTATGGAGACAAATAACAAGAGACTCGACGACATCACCAGAGAAATACAGGAGATAAAAACAAGTTTGCAGTTTACCCAGCGAGATGTGGATGTGATTAAAGCAGCCATGGGTGAACAGAAAATACAAACCAAGGAAACAAGGGATGATGTCTACAAAACTTGTGAGAGT